TCACCAAAACCAAAGGAAAACAATTTCCTTAAAAAACTAGAACTTTGGCGCGTGAAGGAGGTACATGGAAAACAAATTGCTGGCAAAATCTTGACTATCAAACAGCCATAAAGTTGGAAAATGGAATCCATTTTCCAGCTTCCCTAGAAAACTAAGCATATCAAACACAGCCTAACTGATTTTAACCAAAAACCGTGATCTGCATACTATTTTTCAGGGTTTGTCGGGTCTTTATTTAGGAAAAAAACTAAGAATAAGATGATGAACACATCCCCTACCATTTTTCCGATCGATCAAAACTATAGCAACTCTAGTAAATAAAAAATCTAATTACATTGAAAGAAAAGAGTTTCAGTTAGGGCTTGTTTGATTTGGATTGATTTCCATGGAACTTGGAAATTGATTTCTATATTCTTGGGTTTGGCTTGTTTGATTGGTTTAATTTTTCATTGATTTTGAGTTACATTTTTTATTTTATTTTTTATTTTTTGGCAATGAAACAAATTATATCCGCAATTGTAACAAATTATATCCCTTTAATGGACAATTTTCATGTAAAATAAAGTCAAACGAATATCAAAAAATTCAAAATTTTCCAAGTGAAAAATTATACCAATCAAATACAATTAATTGACAATTCCCAATAAAACAATTTTAGGCAATTCAATTTCCTGAAATTTATTTACTTTCCACCAAAATTTCACTCTTGTAATCAAACGGACCCTTACATTTATTCTCATACTTTAAAAGATGTATTTGTGTCTGTGTATATATTGTATATGAGAGAGAGGAGAGATCTGAGAAAAAATGCTGACAAGTCTTTTAACAGCCACCAAAGTTTTGATATGAAACAATGAGTAATACGTTTAAGCCTCTCTTTGATGGACATTATTTGAAAACTCTTTTTTTACATACTCATTTTCAATTATATTCATACAATAAAAATATTTTGCATGTAAAGTCAAAATTTTTTTTCTACTTTTAAACACACAATCTCATAAAAATCACTATTAAAAATATTATTTTTTCCAAACAATAGCCATGAAACGGACTCAGTAATAGGGTTTGTTTACATGGGTCATGTATCTATAAGACTATAACAAGTCGTGGAAATTATATCCATCACTTGTTATTTGAAAAAAAATAAGGAAATACTTTGTAATGAATTTTTTTAATGTTTTATTTTAACAATATAGTAAAATGAAAAATGAATGAATCACTTCTCTCATTCTAGGCAAATTAATTGTGAGCTGAATAGATGCCACCAAACACTCTCCTTTCTATTTTTAAATAGATATATAATTAATTATGTGCGAATTTTCCCTCC